TTTTATGCAGGTGGAGAAAAGCAGAAATACCAGTTCTCTTCTAACTAATCAATTATTTGATTATTCCTTATACTCATTCATCTACCATCCATTCATCCATTTAGTGAAACATTCTTTTACTGAAGGCGTACAATGCATCAGAAACCCAGGATACTGAAGATAATGAAAGAGAACTATAGTCTTTTCTTGGAACATAGAGACTACTAGTAGAGAGTTATATGTAAATAATAATTTGTAATACAGGAGTACCTGCAGGTCTGTATTCTTTATGTCTTATGCATGTCAGATAAGAAAATGAACATTTTTATTATCTTGTAATGTGCACTCAAAAGACCTTCCCAGAGCCAGGGATTTAGCTCAGTGGTTCTGCTGCCTGCCTTGCAAGCGCAAGGTCCTAAGTTCGAGTTCAATCCGCAGTACCAAAAAAAGAAAAAGTCCTTCCCAGAGGCTCCTGCTTTGGCACTACCTGAATACAGCAAGATAGTAAGAAATTGTTACTTTCACCCTCAAAGATTACAGTGTGATATATAATAAAATTTCAATCAAATAAAGTTACATGAAATATTTTATAATACTCATTGTGTGGTATTATGTTGGTTCATGTAACGTTACATTTTTCTTAAAATTAAATATTAAAGTTATTTCTTCCATCCTTATTTAAAATTGTATACCAACAGTGGGCCAGGGATTTAGCTCAGTAGGTACGCCATCTGCCTCACAAGCAGCAGGACGCAAGTTCGATCGGCGGTACCAAAACAACAACAACAACAACAATAACAAACAAAAAAAATTGTATACCAACAATTAATAAAGCATGATTCTTAGAGCTTTAAATGCAATATTCTAGGTAATTTTATTTCTAAAACACATGGACATAGAGGATAATCTTATAATACTGATTCCAGAACTAGTATCTATATAACTTTGACCATATATCATGCCATGAAGAAAATCTTTCTGGTTTTTTATTTTTGTTTAAAGAGACCTTTTTGATTAAATACAGAGTTCAAAGGCTTGTTTTTTTGTGGTTTTTTGTGGTTTTTTTGGTACCAGGGATTGAACTCCGGACCCTGCGTTTGCGAGGCGGACGCCAGAACCATTGAGCTAAATCCCCGGTCCTCAACGGTTTTTAACACATGTATATATCCCTGTTAGAATGGCATAAACCACTGGTGGTGAACCGATGCCACGTGTGCTGCAGCGGGCTGTTTGATATCATTGCAGCTCTAAAAGGTTCACCATCACTGGGGCAGACCATTACTAACACTTGGTATTGTCCGTATTTTCTTTTTCCCTCTTTGTAGTCAGTGTGGAGTGGTTTGTGATTTGGATTTTAATTTGCACCAGTAGATTTAATTTTCTTCCATAATGGAAATATTTGCTCTCTGAAATGAACTATTAAGGAAATGAAGCAACAAGCAACAGACTGGCAAAAATACTAGCAAGCCATGTATCTGACAAGAGTTCACCATCCCATCAGAATATAGAAGAATTTGTTGTCAACCACCAAAACCTACTTCATGTTCTCTTCTGTAACTGATCCTCCTCCTCCAGTAACTCCCGAGAGCCCTTTAATCAAATTTAATAAAACTAGCTTAATTTAAAACAAGTAAATTGTTTGAATGGACAGTACATTAAAGATGACACACAAATGGCAAATAAGTTCATAAAAAATATATTCAGCTTCATTGGTTACTACAGAAGTATAGTTTACAATTACAGTGAGATGGGGCCAGGGGAATTAACTCAGTGGCACCACGCCTGCCTCGTAAGCACAAAGTCGTGAGTTTGATCCCTGGTACTAAAAAAAAAAAAGATTACAATGAGATGCTACTCCATAACTGTTCAAATGACAAAAGTTAAAATAAAATTTTAAAACTCTACAATACCAAGTTCTAGTGAAGATGCTGAAACTTGGTTTCATTTATTTGCTACTCTTTTAACCATCACCATCCACGTTGCCTGACATTTTCCTTTTCATAATATCACTTTGATCATATTTTTCATAAAAGTAATAAAAATTAGAATTAGAGTTATATATGTTTCTACTAGAGTTGAATCCCTTTACTTCTATATTATAATATTTTAGAAGACAATATGAATATGTCTCATTTGATCTCTATTAATTCATCCAAGTCCATTACAGCATCTGACACATAGCTAGCCCTGAATGAGTACATTCCACGATAGTGATTTCATACTTTCACTAATAAGAAAAATCAAAGTCCTTCTCAATATCAATTCCCATACTTAGTGGTAGAGGTACTATCGTTCACTCTATTTCTTTCTATCTATCTTTGTATCTCTCTATCTATGTATCTCTTTCACAGACAGAAACAATAAGCAAAGATTGAAAGAAAATTAATACAAACTTGATTTGAATTGAAGCTTATTCTCCTTACTATTAACTTAAAATAATATTAATCACGCAAAAGATGGAGAGGTAAAATTGCAGTGAGTGTGTTCTAAAATCCTGAATAAAAAATATGTTTTGTAATATCTAGGCTCTACAGTAAAGTTATGCATAACTAACAAGCCAGAAATGGAGAATATGAAAATATTTCAGAAGACTAAACCAAGACAACAACAGGAGAGAAACAGAAATACAGAACAAATAGAACAAATTGAAAACAATGTTAAAATGATAGATCTAATCAGAAACAAATTAGTAATGGTATGATAGAATACCTGATTAAATACTGCAGCTAAAGAACAAAAGTGAAAATTAGCTACAGTGGTAACGATATGCTAATGACATGAAGAATGTATTAAACAAATGGATACAAGAAAGAATGGAGAAAAGTATATTAATAAACAATAGTTAAATGAAAGCCCATGTAACTAATTAATATCAGATAAAGTAGACTTCAAGAGAACAAATAAATTAAATTATAGCAATTTTTAATATTAAATGTTTGAACCCCTCAAGAATATATAGTGATTTTATTTTGTAAATAGTATATATAATATATATTATATATAGTAGATACATGTATCTACTATATACATAGTATATGTCTACATATATCTACAGTAGATTATATAGAGAGAGAGAGAGAGAGAGACAAAGTTTTACAGAATTGAAAAGCAAACCACAAAACTAAGAGATAATCTTATTTTTCATATAATTTTCATATGCTTCTCTCAGTATTTGGTAAAATAAAATAAATGGACAAAAATGTTAAGTTTTGGATTACTTGACAAATGCAATTAAAACTGATCTAATTGATATGGACACGTCAATTGGCAACAGCAATTTAAACAGTTGTTTCAAGAACACAAACAACATTTCTAAAAACTGTCCATATGCTGGGTCATAAACCATTTCCCAACAAATCCAAAAGCCTGATATCATGTAGTACTTCTCCAGTCATAGTGAAATTAAGCTATAAAAAAACAGCAGAAAGACACTAGTAAAGCCCCATATGCTTGAGAATTAAGATACACACATTAAAGAGTTGCTTTGATTTTCCCTGGAGTGCTCATATTCTTAGTTGGCCTAATTATTGCTTTAATAGATATGATTAGGTTTAAAGTTTAAACCCAGATCATTGGCATAGAGGCGATATAGTATAAATAGAATAATAATTCATGGAATGAGTTAAATTTAGCTAAAAATGTAAAGCACAAAAATAACCACCTAACCAAAACTTGGTTAATGTAGGTACATTGTCTTAGCATCAATATATGCCAGAGTAAAATTAAGATAATATGAATATTCACTCATAATATTGCCATGAAAATTGAAACAAATAATGTTTATTAATCAAGTCTTTGGCACAGTTAGTCAATTTATATAATTGCACTCATATTAACAATATCATGATTGTTGCATCATTATCATAATTCTGTCTTCTGTGAAAAATGAGATCTCATTTCTGTAAAATATTGCAGTCAAATGGCCCAAAGTCCCATCTTACCCAACATCAGAAGAGTCATTGCTTTATTCATGATACCTTCACCTTATAAAAATCACAGAATTTCTCGAGGTGCATTCTTTTCTCCAGATAATTAGTTTATTTGCTCCTGTCTTATCCTTGAACTCTTCTTTCTCACATAGGTTCAGTGCAATGGAAGGTTACAATATTCCTTTCATACTGAGTTAGTGTGTTCTGGACCCAAAATATTCCATCTTTCATTGTCTCCTCCCATGCAACTCAACTTCTCAGGCCTTTCTGGGCAACTTCTGCTGTTGTGCCCCAGACGAGGACTGCTGTGATTCCCTGATTTAGTGTAGGAGTCAACCTAGTAGTGCAGTTTCTCTTCACCCAGGCTATCTTGCTACCCTTCCCAGATGTTGTGTCATGATTTGCTTTACTGCCATTTAAACCAACAAAGAACAAATTGAGATCTTGGTCTTCTTTATGCAGAGTATTGTTAGGATACGTATGTAATTTTCTGAACTAAAATCAGGCTGGTTAAACAAATGTGCTTTTGCCTTGTTCAAAATACACATAGTCAAACTCCTGAATTACAATCCTCCAGGACCTGGAAATTCATAATTATAGCACCAGCCTACCTTTTAGAATATTTTAATCACTTCCCAGTTAGATTATTTGGCTTAGACCTAGTCTTTTTACTGCCTGGCATAAGAGTTATTACTCTAAGGATTTACATACATATTCCTTTATTTTAAAAAAAGACTAATGTCTTCTACAAACCAAAAAGGTACAGACTTCTTCATGTGACAAACTCCTGGATAGTATCTTAACTCCTATAATATCTTAAAATAGTATCTTAAGATACTATCTTAAGATAATATCTTAACTCCTATCACCACCTGCCAAAAATCCTTCATTTAATCTGCCAGAAGTATCCATTAATTTTCAAGGAAGTCATGAACTTTCACATTCAATTTATTGAAGCATATGGTTTCTTCTACTTAAAATGTCCTTTCTACCTCTATTTGCCTACATGACTCTAATTTATCTATTGTAATGTCTCAAATGTCACCTTCTCAATATATCTTTCTTTAAAGCTTCATTTTTTTATTGACACAGAAACATGAATTACAACAGTTATATATTGAACTACCACCATCCACATGTAGAAGACTCCAGGACAAGGAACTAAGTCAAGCAATCTATGTAAATTATTTATTTTAATGTAAGTATATCTGCTTCCCTCTGAGCTTTAATGTGTACAGATAATCAATTGGTTTATGGAGAGGGTCTATGATGAAATACGTTGAGTGACAGTTGTTCTCCAGGATTGCGAATTAAGTCAGAAAACATCAGTCAACTCTCAATATCCGGACATGTTCATGTAAAAGAAAGTGTCTATCCCAAAGCAAGTACCCTGAGATTCAGGTTAAAAATGAGGAATCATTCAAATGATCTCCTGATTTATATCTTCAGGGAGTGTATTTTTTACAGTTCATTAAATAGAAGAGAAATATAATGATGTGTGCAGAAAATAAAGCTGTGTAGGAACTGAGATTGTGAGCTGGCGTACTTGGGAGGAAGGAATGGTTTTCTTGTTTTAACTTGTCCACTAGAGAAGATTGCTTACAGCAGTGTCAACGTGGGTACCACTAGGAGAGAAGGACAGCAGCAGAAACTGCGGGAGAATTGACCCAGTACAAGATGAAAAGGACCTGTGCCCCGAACTGCGAGCTGTGAGTGGAAGATAATCACACAAAGTAGAGGATAAAGTCACTTAGGATTCACAGGAACTTCTGTGAGTCATTTACCCTTCTGAATTTTTCTTTTTTTATTCATTAAGTTTATTGGTACATTTTAGGTATACAATATAAGGACCTTCATCATTGGAAATTTGTACCTTTTCATGATATATCTTGGTTCTTATTTTTTCCCCATTCCCCTGCCCTCCCTTCAACCCCTCCATCCCTCCCTATTTACAAATATTAATTCCATTCCCTTCTTTCCTTTCCCCTACCCCTCCCACTTCCCCTTCTCCTTTGGAGCTTTTCTTCCTATTTCACATTATCTGTATGTACTATGGGGTACAGTATGCTGTAAACCGCGTCGTGAATGAGAGTAAAGTTACCTTGTAATGGGTCACTCCATAGGCTTAATGTTCACTGTTGTTCACAATTACTTGTGATTCCACATTTATCCTGGATTTTTGTTGAATATTATTATTAATAATTACATTTCAGGAAACTGAATTGCAACAGGTTAGCATCCACATGGAAATTATAATTACTGCCAGGGTCACATCTATTTCTATGTGAAATACATATGCAACAGTAATAAGTTTTGCTTTAATGTGTGGTCCAACCCAAATAATCCTTACCATACACAAGGTAACTCACATCTTACTCGTATAGGAAGTGTGTAACACAACGGTTGACAAAGCAAAATATGCCCAGAAACAAATCGTTCTGAGTAGCTAATTCATGCTTATCGTGGATAGTGGTTGATGAGCTGTTTGATGCTGCTGCTCCTGTCAGATGAATTGTTACTGTTTAAATTTTTTTTTTTTCCTGAGACATGGTCTTGTTAAATTACTGAATTTGTTTCCAGGCTCTTGCCTTGATGGCCTGAAATGCACAAACCCACCAGGTCATTATTCAACAGTCACTGGAAAACAAAAGGAAATGTATTCCAGGACAAAGAGGCTGAGCAAGAGAGCCAAGAGACACACAACTTGGAGCGCACTTTCTTACTGCAGTGAATTTGACATACGTGATGTGACCCTATTACTGCACCGTAGAATTCAAAAATTTTTTTAAGTTGACAGATAATAATTGTCTATATCTTTGGATTCAGTGTGATTTCTTGATGTATATAAAGATTGCAAAAACATGCATTCTAACTTTGTTTGATGTATTAATCGCCTTGCCAACTTCTCTTTATTTCACGAATAGAATGTATATTTTATAATTTAAAATGTATATTTTTATTTAAATTATAAAATATACATTTTATTAACTCTGGTTACTGTGTGACATAATAAATCACTAAGGCTTATTCTTTCAGTCTGGCTGAAACTTTGTACCCTTTGATCAACTTTCCTCCATTCTACATCCTTCTCTTGCACAATTTGGCCCCTGGTAATCATTTTTCTATTCTAGTTTTATATGACCAGGTTTCATGTATATATCAGATGATTCAATATTTGCCTGTTCCTCACTTATTGATTTCTTCTGGTTGTAAGGTTGTAGAATATTCCAGTGAATGTATGCATACATACTACATTTCCTTTATCCATTCATCCACTAATGATACTTAGATTGATAGATAGCTTGGTTATTATGATTGCTGTTGAAATGAAAATGGGAGTGTAGATATCTTTTCATCACACTGAGTTCAGTTGTTTTGGATATACAACTAGAAATGGGATTACTTAATCATATGTTAAGTCCAGAAATAAATTCAAGTCTTTGTGGTAATTAACTTTCAAAATAGGTGTCAGGAATGCATAATGGAGAAAGAACATGTTCTTCCATAAATGTACTGAGAAGAATTTTTTTAAATCAAAGTAGATAAATCATTAAATATAGGACCTGAACTTTTAAAGTTGCTAGAAGAAAACATATGAAAAAAGCTCTATGTCATTGATCTGGGTAATGATTTCTTGGAGAGAACCCAAAAGCACAGGAAAGTACAGCAAAAAAAGGCAAATGTGATGGCATCAAACACAGAGGATTACATACAGCAAAGAAAAAATTAACAATGAGATAATTTTTGAGTTGATAGAAAACATTTGCAAGCCACTCATCTACTAAGGGACTCATATTTAAAATATACAAAGAATTTAAACAACTAAATATCAAGAGAAAAAATTAAAATTCAAAAAAATCTGAACAGACATTTCTCAAAAGGAGAGAGATGAGTGGAGTATAGGTAGATAAAACAATGAAAATTGAAATTACAGTGAAGTATCTGTGAGAATGATTATTAATAAAAAGACAAATGATAGAAACTATTGTTGAGGTTGTGGAGAAAAATGACCCATTTGTACATTGTTGGTGGAATGTAAATTAGTACATTATTTTGAAAAAATAGTACGGAGGATCCTAAAAAATGAAAACTAGAGAATTATATAATTCTACAGTTTTTAATTCATATTTTCATTTTGAATAATTTTTATTCTATAATAAAATGAAGAATAAGCTAGAAAATTAAAGTTCATTTAAAATGAAAATATAAATAATTTGCTCTATTAATAGAATATGCTGTGATGAATTTGTAACATGCACAAAATGTTATTTAATATTTACCATCTTCCATGGGGCCGATAGGAGAGTCATTCATGACACAGGACGAGAACAAAAAACAAATTTGATGAAAAAAAAGAACAACCTTATACTTCAAACATTCTTAGCTGCCTAATGAACACAGAAACTTAATGTTTTAATATTGCATTTAGTAAAATGTAAACTCTTTGTAGTATAACTGTAGATTTAGATTGAATGACTTCTAAATTAATCCTTTTCACTCCTTACACAATTAAATAAAGCCAAATTGTATGAATAACAAGGAAGCTTTCAAATAGAGACATACTTCACTCCAATAATGGTTCCTTTTTATCCAATTCAACTTTTTTCCCAAAATAAAGCTTTAGAAATTTAGTATTATCAAAGCTGATACATGACATACTAGTGTGAATGCTCTTATAAATTCTCTCCTTTTAAAAAATTTTATTAGTCCGTGTTTCCAGTGCACAATGACTACATTTCCCATGGGGAGTTGGTGAATGTACGTCACACATTTTTTTTTTTTTTTTT